GGGAGAGTCAGAGCGGGGTGCATGTCCTCCATTTTGTCTGGAGCTGGGACCCCTCTGTTCTATTTCAGGCTGTGGTCTCTATGAAGCCTTTTGAAATGTTGTCAAAAATAATCACAGAATAGTTGCTCCTCTGAGGTGTTGGATATGCAGGAAGTGTGTCGGTGGTGTGCGTGGTCAGCTGGTATATAATGAGCCACTCTAGCCAAGAGTCTAGAATAGTCAGTATAAGCCCAAATCCTTTTTTAAAAAAACCTCTCGCATTTTTCAATTTGGGTTTAATATTCCGAGTAACCTGAGACTTGGGACATTAAATGGCTGGCACAGCATCAGGGCTCACAAGGGACAAATGTGCCTTTGTGTAGTTGGCTTCCTGAGCATTAGCCGGCCCCTTGTGCAGCAGCCTCACAGATGAGGAAAGTGCAATACATTTTGTTTAACTGAATTGGTGTGAAGGTGTTCCCTGCTGTCATTCTCTTTAAGCACTATTTCATTTTGTGACGGAAAGTTCATAATTGTCATTGAAGTTATGGCTTCTGCAAGTTGGTGGTGATTGACGGGAAGCAGTAGTATGAATTCTCTAGATAGAAATGCAATCTGGTGGATAGTATTCTTGGCTGGGGAGATGCAGAGGAACAGAGCCATTTATTTATCAGGACAGTCCCCTGTGTTTCCAAAGGGCTGTCCAGCTGTTGATATTTTCCTCGTCACATTTCTGCAAGGAGAGCAGTTGTCCTCATTTCCTGGTTTTAAAAGCCAGGAAACCGAAGCACAAATGCTCACAGAAACCCACGTACCCTGGGAAGGAAGGAGCTAAACCCTAAGAGAGAGTGGGACCCTGAGAGGCTGACAGGGTGCCCCAGTAGGTCAGAGCCAGGGAACTCAGATGGATCTCTAGTCCAAAGACAGAAGACATTTTCCTCTACTTTTATTGAGCCATAACTCATGCATAATAAAATTCACTTGTTTTAAGTGTACAGTTTGATAAGTTTTGGCAATTGTATACAGCTGGGTAGCCATCACAAGAAACAAGATACAGAACATTTCTGTAACCCTCAAGTCCCCCATCCCGATCCCAGGCCACCCCCACTGCTTCTGTCGCTCTGCTTCGGCAGGGCTGTTGTTGCAGGTCTCTGCATAGCCCACTTCCCGTACCTGGGTGCTCCTACCCACTCATTCTGCATGTCCCTTCCCCTAGGAAGCACCCTGAACCCCTCAGACCAGGTCGGGGGACTCTCCTTGTGCCCCTCCATCCCAGCTCCTGTCACAGGAAGTGCTGGTGCCTGTGGCAAATGTGTGTCCAGCTCACTTCCTGTTACACCTGAAGTCACCTGACTTCTCCAGCCCTTGGGGGTGAGGGGGGATGGGGCATCAGACATCTTTAATTCCCTCTTTCTTGCTTTATTTCTGCATTTTCCTAAAAGAATATCTCTAAAGTTGTCACTGTTATTTCCTTGAGGATACATTATTGTATCTCTACAGTTCTGTTCATAAAGAGGAACAACGGAAACAGGTTAAGAAGAGAAGGTAGCCTGTCTAAAAGCAAAATGCATTTTTTCTTAGAGAAGATCCTGCTTGTTTTCACCATTGTTTCACCAGCATTTTCCAGCAAAACAGCTGGTTAGGTTGTAAAAGTACACGATGGAGACGGAGGCGAAACTTCCCTCTAGTGGGAGGTCTGCTGTTCCTGGGGAAACACGCAGCTTCTTCTCACACTGTGGGACACCTCCCAGTGCATGGGCGTGGAGAGGCTCATCTCTGATGGATCAGAGGCAAAATGACATAAGGATGACATCAGTCAGAAGCTCTGACCACACGCTTCTCTGGGCGTGATCTCATATGCGACGACGCCGGACCTAAGAACAGACTTCTGCCCTGTCGTCTAAGCCTTCCGAAATGGTGCCCAGCAGACCAGGGACAAAGCTAAATGAATCTCAGCCACATACTCAAGGAGGCAAACATTCAATAGAACGTACAAATAAGGAAAACTGACACTTTATTTAGGTTGTCAGCTACATTCTGTTAGCTTTGGCTAATGGTGTCCCTACACCAGACCACAGTGAGAAAATCAGAGGGGCAGGACCAAGCTCGTCAGAGTCGGGCACACAGGACGATGCTGAATACACATTTATGTTAGGCATTTTCATAAACATGATCTGATTTAATCTTCATAACAATCCCATTTCACAGATGGCAAAACCGAGGTACGGAACACATAAAGTCCCAAAGCTCCGAGCGGATGACGGGCACATGCTGCCCTGTGGGGTGTTCCTCCCCGGCTCTCTCGCCCTCCTGCTTGTTGCTATGTGAATCTGGGTCCCGGGAGTGAGCAGGCAGCAGCCTGTGTTAGGCACGCAGGTTAGGTGCATCTGGGCATCTGCTGCAGGCGAGGTGAGATTTCATGAATTTCTGATTCCAGGAGCTGCCAGGATGACAGGAATAGCAGCAAACCAAGGCAGCGAGCGTTTTGCAGCCTAGGCACAGGGTACAGCTTGGGGAAGGGAGAGGCTCCGAGAGGCTCCGAGAGGCCCCAAGTCACTCCGTAGAAAAAGAAGACAGGGAGAGAGCTGAAGAGTGCAGCACCCTGAGGAGGGCTGGGAAGCAGAGGGGGCATTTACAGAGGGTCTGGGAGGCCAGAGCGGGGCACAGGGGTGGGAATACATCCTTAAGAGAGACATGAGGTGCATTAAATTCACGGCTGCAAACTGATGGTCCGCAGGCTGAATTTGGTCCCAAACGCCTCTCTCCTGTGTCCAGTGGGGTAAAGAAAAAGTGTTTTGATGCTCATGGGTGGGACATGAATGGACTCTGTGGTGTCCACGTCCCTTGGCTCCCTGCCGGACACAGCTGCTTCACTCCCCTGTGATGTTCACCTGGCCCAGGGGGGCTGGGTCCGTGATTCTGCCTAAACTGCTCCTGTTCTCAGCGACTCCTCTGGCCTGGAGCCCCAGAAGCTCAGCCCAGAAGAAGACTGCAGCAGATGTAGCACGAGTGGTTTCCACAGCTTGCTGCCTGCATTCTTCTGGGCCCACCCTGATGTGATTGTCTGCTTGTCGGGAGGCCTCCCTTGTTTTCAGCTGTTCTCTGAACCTGGTTCCTAACTCCCCAGCCTTGGCATCCCTCAGACCCAGACACACGCAGTGCATCCAGACGAGCAGTTGTGAAGTGCCCGACAGCGTGCACAGTCCATGTTCAGGCTCAGACTTGTATTTTCTTAAATAAGCTCAATGCTTCAGAGTAAAAAGAAACCCTTTAATTTTTGCGGGAAAAAAAATCTAATGAGCATTTCCTTCTCCAAACTGTCTCTCCCCTGAGTGCCAGACACATCATGTGAACTTGCAATGGTCAGGACCAGGATGATTTTGTGTTAATGCACTCCAGTAAATAACCGTGCAAATGGGGTTCTTCCCTTTGCCCGCCCTGAGGAGCATGTTCTGCCGTGACGCGTGCCTGCCAGGTCCACTAAGGCCAGTAGGTAGGCAAGGTGACTGGAGGGTGCCCCTCACACTGTCCCTACAGACCTCCCCTCAATGCCCGAAGCAACACCAAAGCACTGCTGGCCACTTGCAGGCCAGCTCTTTGGGATAAAGATAAGCTGGTGGTGAGGGAGGGGGCGTGCGTTTATTCAGTTCAACAAATATTTATTGAGCACCCCTAGACGCTTTAAGATCTTTAAACAAAACATAGGATAGTCTCCATTTTCCAAAGAACTCTGCTCCGGGGTGAGGGGCTGACTGCAAAGTCAGTCAGATCTCTGCTTACACTGTGTGACCTTGATAAAGCCAAATTGCTACTGCTGAACCTCCACTTTATTACCTGCAAAATGGGAAAATAGTACCTGCTCTCCAAGACGACTATGACTGTGACACGCCTATGCCCCCCGCCTCACCTCAGCCTCCCAGGGGCCTGCTCTGGACACAGACGTGACCCTACCACGAGAGGACAGGATCAAAGGCTGTGCGCCTTGCTGCACATTCGAATCCTAGGGGGGCTTTAAAAAGTCCTGATGCCCAGGCCACGCCCCAGGCTGATGAAATCAGACTCCCTGGGGTGGAGCCCTGGCATCAGCTGAGTGTAAAGCTCCCCAGGTGATTCCAATGAGCAGCCAAGGTGAACAGCCACTGACCCAGAAGGAAAGAGAAGTGCAATTATTTCATCTCGAGAGACAGAAGTCTGGGGAGGCTATTATGACTACTTCTTGTCAATTATAGTATTATGCCCTGTGTAATTTGAGGTTTAAGAACTACAACGTCATATTTATTCAGAACTTTATAAACTGCAAAGCACTTTCACATTCATGATCAAATTTAATCTTCAGAGAAAATTTAAGGAAACTGAGGCCTGGAGAATTTAATGACAAGCAGAAGGTACATCAGGTTAATGGACAAACACAGCTGGAGTGAACATCTACCTTCAAACCCCTCTCTCCTGCCCCAACCCCACCACCCGGGTCAATCCCTCTGAGAGCTGTGATCCAGACCTTCATGCTGGATTCTGGACCCACGTGTCCAGATGCCCTCCAGGATTGCCCCCTTGGCTGTTAGCGTTGGGCAGCTCCACTCTGTCCAGCACTGCTCAAGGCCGCTGCCCACGGGCCGTCCTCTCTGGTGTCTCCCATCTTTGGTCAGGCACAGCCGCTGGAGTCTCCACTGACACCTCCTCACCTTCATTGACCACAGGGAGTTGACCGCCCCCAGAGGACCGTGTGAATCCGTCCACTTTTCATGATCCCGGCCTCTACCACCCCCATCACAGCTTCTCCCTGAGCAGTTCCAATAGCCTGCTAACTCCTTTCCCTGCACCCCCTCTCATCCTCCAGTCCCTGCTTTTGACTTGTCTGCTGGACCCACTGAGGTCTGGGAGTCAGGCAGAGTTTCTTCATTTAAAAAAGTGAGCATTCTCGAGTGTCTGACGTGTATAATTCCACACACAAGTACGCGTGCACACATGCACGCATGCACCTCAAAGCTGCTTGCTCTGGGTGTGTCACACACTAGGACCACTTTCTGTGACAAACTCCTTTAATAAAGGGCTTGAAAACATTCAGAAGTCTGCAGCTGCCTTCTTCCAGCCAGTCGTGGGACCACAGGCAAGTTCTGTAACCCTTCAAATGTCTCACCTACAAAATGAGGAAGGCAATGCCCACTCACGGGGATGTCGTGACCATTGAATGGACTGACGGCATAAAATGCCTGCACACTCTACTTCCTGGTAAAACTGGAGAAGGCGTTCTTCTGGGAGGGGGAAGGAGGGCCAGCGGTGTTTGCCAGGTGCCTGTGATGTGCCACACTCCCAGGGGAGCTTCTGCAGTCCCATCACTGCATCCCAACAAGCGTGAGGTGATGTTGTCCCCACCTCAGTGAGGTTCCGTGGCCGGTCAGGGTCTCCCTCAGGTCAGTGGCAGAGTCTGGTTCAAACAGTCTGCACCCTCCGGAGTCCAAGGGAGCGTGCTGTGCGGGCTTCGGCTGACGTTTTCCTTTTCAGGGGATGAACAATCAGTATGCCCGCCGGGAGGTCTTCTGCCGGAACACCTGTCACGAGCTCAAACGCTTCTGGGAAAGGGAGATTGGCAAACAGACTTACTATCGAGAGTCAGAGGAACACCGCCTGGGAAGAAGCGCCCTGAGAAAGTAGGTGGCTTCTTTGTGTATTTTTTATTAATTACTTTTTAAAAGTAGACTATTTTCTAGAGCAGTTTTAGGTTCCTGGTAAAACTGAGCAGAAAGTAGGGAGTCCCATAGACCCTCCGTCCCCACACAGCCTCCCCTGCTGTCAACATCCCCGCCAGGGCGATCCATGCGTTACAATCAAGAACCTACCTTGACACATCATTCTCACCCTTCTTTGTCTATTTTTTTCAAAGCAAAATTGATTTCCCCAGAAGAATGCCAGATGGCATGTTAGAATATGTAATTATCTTAATTTTCCATGCAGTCCTGCCGCCATCTATAGTTATGAGCAGTAATTTAAAAAAGCCAAGTTAACAAATGTACACTATAATTCTTATCTTTATGAACGGAAAAATCTCTCCTTTCTGTCACCATGTCTAGCTCGTGAGGGTTACACTAAACTTGGGGGGCGGGTCAGCAGAGCTGTCCGTGAAAAGCAATCAAGCAAAGGAGACAGTGATCAATTCTCAGCACTTGTTTGGGTAAAGACATGAGATGCCCTGTGTGTTCATGAAGGAGGGCTGATGGGCCCTCAGCCCTCTGGTGTGCATCCCTGTTGTCACGAAGTGAGTCCATCCAGTGGAGAGACCAGGGTCGCAGTCATCGTAGAAACTGGCAGCTCACCACACACACACACACACACACACACATACACACACACACACACACTCACTGCCTCTCCATTGCTGGAGGGAGCCACTCACAGGCCACAGTGAGGGACAGGCCCCTCTGGGTTCTCTGTGCACTCCTGGAACAGCTCAGCCGGTGCCCATTCACTGAGGCCACAGCTTGTGCATGGCTGGCAGGTGGTGGGGCAGGTGCGTGCTGGCTGGACAGCAGGGCTCATGATTCCATTCTGTCTGAGAACATGCATTAATTCACATGAGTTAAACTCATTGTTGCCTTCCAAGGCCCCTCCTAGCCCTAGACGGGAGCCCAGCCTCCTCCACATTTAGAGACCTGCTCAGCCCCGTTCCTGGTCACAGGCAAGAAAAAGCAGGCCGTCCTACCTGCTGAAGCGTCGTGTTAGGGCCTCTCGTCTGGGGATTCTCAGAGTAGCTGAGTTGGGTGTTCAGTCCTTTCTGCAGTCCCTGCCATCCTCCTACCCCCCAGCCAGGCCACTCAGCAGGCTATACACCAGAGGCCACAGTGAGTTCTGTGCCGTGCGCGTGTCCCCCCAGGGAGCACACAGAAGGCCCCAGGTGGAGTGAAACTGGCCTGAGGAAGATGCAGAAACCAAAGCCTGGAAGTGAGGTGCAAGCCAAGGGGTGAGCAAAGTAGGCCCTGGAGCAAACTGCACAGTTTGTAAAAGAGTTCAAATATATGTCCGTCGATACAACAGAAGACTGCAGGAAATGAGCTCTCTGGGTGGCGGGGTGGCAAGACTTTCACTTATTATTTATCCTTCCCTCCTCTCTTCCACTTTGAACCAGAGAGCCAGCTCCAGAGAGCCTCTGCTCTTGACCACTTCTCCGTCTTGTCCATTCACTAAAAAAGGCAGAGTCCCAGCTCATTAGGTTGTTCTGCGGCTTGAACAAGAAAATGTGCCTAAAGCACCCAGCGTGGTGCGTGGCCGAGCTCAGGGCTCAGGGATGTCAGTTCCCCTCCCTCCTCCGCACTCCCACCAATCCAGGACCCATCGAATGTAGCAGCAGCAAGATGCCAAAGGAAGAGCCCTGGCCTTTGGGTCTCTGGATGAGTTAGCAAATCTCTGTGTGCCTCAGATTCCTCCTTGTTATTTTTATCACAGAGAAAGAGACACTAAGAGAAGTAAGAGGGATGCTGAGGGGTTACTGCCTTTTACTAGTGGGGAGCACTTGGTTGATAGTGTTGTTCAAGTGTTCTATGTCCTTACTGATCGCTTGTCTATTTGTTTTATTGATGGCTGAAATATGGGAATTGAAATCTTCAGCCATAATTGCGGATTTGTCGATTTCTTCTGACAGTTCTATCACATTTTGTTCATGTATTTTGAAGCTCTGTTATTACATGAATGTTTAGAATTGTTATATCCTCTTGATGAATTGACCCCTTTATTGTAAAATGACATCTTTCTCTTGGATAATATTCTCTGCTATGAAATCTACTTTGTCTGATATCAATATAACCGCTCCAGCTTTCTTTTTAATTTATTTTTTTACTGTATTGAGGTCATAATGGTTTATAACATTGTGTAATTTCAGGTGTACGTTATTACGTATCAGCTTCTGTATGGACTGCATCATGCTCACCACCAGTAGTCTAGTTTTCATCTGTCACCATACATCCGTGCCCCTTTACCTCTTTTGCCCACCCCCCCAAACCCCTTCCCCTCTGGTAACCACTAGTCTGTTTATCCATGTGCTTGTTTATCTTCCACATATGAGTGAAATTATACGGTTTGCCCTTTTCTGTCTGGCTTATTTCACTTAACATAATACCCTTCAGTTCCATCCATGTCATTGCATGTGGGATAATTTTGCCTTTTTCATGGCTGAGTAGTATTCCATTGTGTATACATACTACATCTTCTTTATCCAGTCATCAGTTGATGGGTACTTGGGTTGCTTCCACTTCTTGGCTGTTGTGAATAATGCTGCAGTAAACATAGGGGTGCATAAGTCTCTTTGAATTGTTGATTTCAATTTCTTTGGATAAATACCCAGTAGTGGGATGGCCGGGTCATATGGTATTTCTATATTTAATTTTTTGAGAAATCTCTGTACTGTCTTCCATAGAGGCAGTACCAGTTTGCATTCCACTAGCAGTGTATGAGGGTTCCCTTTTCTCCACATCCTCTCCAACATTTGTTATTGTTTATCTTGTTAATTATAGCCATTCTACCGGGTATAAGGTAATATCTCACTGTAGTTCTGGGTTGCATTTCCCTAATAATTAGTGATCTTGAACATCTTTTCATGTTCCTGTTGGCCATCTGTATATTTTCTTTGCAAAGATGTCTGTTCATATCCTCTGCCTGTTTTTCTTTTTTTTTTTTTTTTTTTTGAGGAAGATTAGCTCTGAGCTAACATCTGCTGCCAATCCTCTTCTTTTTGCTGAGGAAGACTGGCCCTGAGCTAATCCGTGCCCATCTTCGTCTACTTTATATGTGGGATGACTACCACAGCATGGCTTGCCAAGTGATGCCATGTCTGCACCCGGGATCCAAACTGGCGAACCCCAGGCCGCCAAAGTGGAATGTGCAAACCTAACCGCTGCACCGCTGGGCCGACCTCTGCTTGTTTTTTGATGGGGTTGTTTGTCTTTTTGTGTTGAGCTGTATGAGTTCTTTATATATTTTGGAAATTAACCTCTTGCCAGATATATGACTTACAAATATTTTCTTTCAGTTGGTGGGTTGTCTTTTTGTTTTGTTCATGGTTCCCTTTGCGGTGCAGAAGCTTTTTTTAGTTCCATTTATTTTTTCTTTTGTTTCCCTTGCCTGAGTAGACATGGTGTTCAAAAAGATGCTGCTAAGACTGATGTCAAAGAGTGTCCTGCCTATATTTTCTTCTAGGAGTTTTATGGTTTCAGGTCTTACATTCAAGTCTTTAATCCATTTTGAGATAATTTTTGTGTGTGATGTAAGATAACGATCTACTTTCATTGTTCTGCATGTGGCTGTCCAGTTTTCTCAACATCAATTATTGAAGAGACTTTCCTTTCTCCATTGTATGTTCTTGGTTCCTTTGTCAAAGATTAGCTGTCCATAGACATGTGTTTTATTTCTGGACTCTCAAGTCTGTTCCATTGCTCTGTGTGTCTGTTTTTGGGCCAGTACCATGCTGTTTTGATTACTGTAGCTTTGTGTGGTATATTTTGAAGTCAGGGATTGTGATGCCTCTAGTTTTGTTCTTTTTTCTCGAGATTGTTTTGGCTATCAGGCTCTTTTGTTGTTCCATATAAATTTTAGAACTCTTTGTTCTATTTCCGTGAAGAATGTCATTGGGATTCTGACTGGGATTGCATTGAATCTGTAGATTGCTTTAGGCAATATGGACATTTTAACTATGTTTATTCTTCCGATCCATGAGCGTGGAATATGTTTCCATTTCTTTATGTCTTCTTCTATTTCTTTTCAATAATGTATTACGGTTTTCATTGTAGAGGTCTTTCACCTCCTTGGTTAAATTTACTCCTAGATATTTTATTCTTTTTGTTGTGATTATAAATGGGATTGTATTCTTGACTTTTCTTTCTGCTAGTTCATTACAGTGTAGAAATGCAACTGATTTTTGTAAGTTGATTTTGTACCCTGCAACTTTGTTGTAGTTGCTGATTATTTCTAATAGCTTTCTGGTGGATTCTTCAGGGTTTTCTATGTATAAAATCATATCATCTGCAAACAGCAAGGATTTGGATTCTCTCTCTCTCTTTCTTTCTTTCTATTATTCTATTTCTTTTATTCCAATTTGTATTCCTTTTATTTCTTTTTCTTGACTAATTACTCTGGCCAAAACCTCTAGTACTGTGTTGAATAGGAGTGGTGAGAGTGGCCACCCTTGTCTTGTTTCTGTTCTCAGAGGGATGGTTTTCAGTTTTTTACCGTTAAGTATGATGTAGGTTTTGGGTTTGTCATATATGACCTTTATTATCTTGAGATATTTTCCTTCTGTACCCATTTTTTTGGAAGTTTTTATCATAAATAGATGTTGGATTTTGTCAAATGCTTTCTCTGCATCTGTTGAGATGATCATGTGATTTTATTCCTCATTTTGTTAATGTAGTGTATCACGTTGATTGATTTGTGGATGTTGGATCATGCCTGTGTCCCTGGTATAAATCCCAGTTGATCATGGTGTATGATCCTTTTAATGTATTGCTGTATTGGATTTGCCAATATTTTGTTGAGGATTTTTGCATCTATGTTCATCAGTGATATTGGCCTGTAGCTTTCCTTCTTTGTGTTGTCCTTGTCTGGCTTAGGAATCAGGGTGATGTTGGCCTCATAGAATGAGTTAGGAAGTGTTCTGTCTTCTTCAATTTTTTGGAATAGTTTGAGAAGGATAGGTATTAAATCTTCTTTGAATGTTTGGTAGAATTCTCCACAGAAGCCATCTGGTCCTGGATTTTGTTTTTTGGGAGGTTTTTGATTACTGTTTCAATCTCTTTACTTGTTATTGGTCTATTCAGATTCTCTATTTCTTCTTGATTCAGTTTGGGAGGTTGTATGAGTCTAAGAATTTATCCATTTCTTCTAGGCTGTCCAATTTGTTGGCATATAGTTTTTCTTAGTATTCTTTTATAATCCTTTGTATTTCTGTGGTATCCATTGTAATTTCTCCTCTTTCATTTCTAATTTTATTTGTTTGAGGTTTCTCTCTTTTTTTCTCAGTGAGTCTGGCTGAGGGTTTGTCAATTTTGTTTATCTTCTCAAAGAACCACCTCTTAGCTTCATTGATCCTTTCTATTTTTTTTTAGTCTCTCTTTTATTTATTTCTGCTCTAGCTATTATTATTTCTCTCTTTCTTCTGTCTTTGGGCTTTGTTTGTTCTTCTTTTTCTAATTCTGTTAGGAGTAGTTTAAGATTACTTATTTGAGATTTTTCTTCTTTGTTGAGGTAGGCCTGTATTGCTATAAATTTCCCTCTTAGCACTGCTTTTGCTGCATCCCATAAGAGTTGGTGTTTTCATTTTCATTTGTCTCCAGGATTTTTTGATTTCTCCTTTGATTTCTTCATTGATCCAGTGGTTGTTCAGTAGTATGCTGTTTAGTCTCCACATATTTGTGACTTTCCCAGACTTTTTTTTGTAATTGGTTTCTAGTTTCACAGCCTTGTGGTTAGAAAAGACACTTGATATGATTTCAATCTTCTTAAATTTATTCAGTTTGCTTTGTTTCCCAAAACATGATCTATTTTTGAGAATGTTCCATGTGCACTTGAGAAGAATGTGTATTCTACTATTTTTGGATGGAATGTTCTGTATGTATCTAGTAAGTCCATCTGGTCTAGTATTTCATATAAGGCCACTGTTTCCTTGTTGACTTTCTCTCTGAATGATCTATCCATTGATGTAAGTGGGGTGTTGAGGTCCCCTATTATTATTGTGTTGCTATTACTTTCTCCCTCTAGGCCTGTTAATAGTGGCTTTATATACTTTAGTGCTCCTGTGTTAGGTGCATATATAGTCATAAATGTTTTGTCCTCTTGGTGGAATGTCCCTTTTATCATTATATACTGCCCCTCTTTGTCTCTCATTGTCTTTTTTATCTTTTTTTTTTTTAGGAAGATTAGCCCTGAGCTAATTACTGCCAATCCTCCTCTTTTTGCTGAGGAAGACTGGCCCTGAGCTAACATCCATGCCCATCTTCCTCTACTTTATATGTGGGATGCCTACCACAGCATGGCATGCCAAGTGGTGCCATGTCCACACCTGGGAACCGAACCAGCAAACCCCAGGCTGCCAAAGCGGAACATGTGAACTTAACCATTGCGCCACTGGGCCAGCTTCTGTCTCTTTTATCTTGAAATCTGCTTTGTCTTATATAAGTATGGCAACATTTGCTTTCTTTTGCTTGCCATTTGCTTGGAGTATTGTCTTCCTTCTCTTCACACTGAGCCTGTGTTTATCTTTAGAGCTGAGATGTATTTCCTGGAGGCAGCGTATTGTTGGGTCTTGGTGTTTTTGTTTTTTTTTTTTAAAGATTTTATTTTTTTCCTTTTTCTCCCCAAAGCCCCCCAGTACATAGTTGTATATTCTTCATTGTGGGTCCTTCTAGTTGTGGCATGTGGGACGCTGCCTCAGCATGGTTTGAAGAGCAGTGCCATGTCCATGCCCAGGATTCGAACCAACGAAACACTGGGCTGCCTGCAGCAGAGCACGTGAACTTAACCACTCAGCCACGGGGCCAGCCCCTGGGTCTTGTTTTTTAATCCATCCAGTCACTCTGTGTCTTTTGATTGGAGAATTCAATCCATTTACATTTAGAGTGATTATTTATATACAAGGGCTTAATAGTGCCATTTTATCTCTTGTTTTCTGGTTGTTCTATATTTCCATTGTTTCCTTTCCCTTGTATTTCTGACTGCATTTCAGTTTGGTGATTTTCCATCATGGTTTTCTCTTTGTTTATGATTTGCAGCTATGCTCTGATTTTTTGTTCAATGGTTACCACGAGGTTTGTTTAAAAGATCTCATAGCTGAGATAGTCCATTTTCTGAGAGCCTCTTATCTCCATTAGCCGAAGTAGGCTCCATCCCTCTCCTCTTTCCCATCTAAGTTATTGTTGTCACAAATTGTTCTTTTCTGTGTTGTGAGTTTGCAACTAAGTTGAAGTGTTTATAGTTATTTTTCATGGTTTTCTTCCCTTTATCTTTTATGTTATAATTAAGTGTTTACTAACCTATTCTGGTATAGAGTTGCAATTTTCTGATTCTATCTGTCTATTTATCTCCTTGGTCAAGGTTTTGTAAATTTTTCTTTTTAGTTTCAGATCACTCCAGCTTTCTTTGATTGGGGTTAAGATGGAATATTTTTCCATCCTTTTACTTTTAACCTATTTGTTTCTTCATATTTAAGTGATTTTCTTGTAAGCAGCATATATTAGATATAGCTTTCTAATCCAATTTGACAATTTTTGCATTTTAGTTGGATTTTTACGTCATTAACATTAACTGGTATAACTGAGTTTAAGTCCTCCATCTTGCTTTTTGTCTCCTATTTCTCTCCCCTGTCCTTTATTCCTTCTTTTCTGCCTTCTTTTGGATTAATTAAATATTTGTTATGATTCCATTTTACCTCCTCTGTTGGCTTTGTAACTATATCTCTCTGTGTTATTTTAGTGGTTGCTTAGGATTTATATTTACATCCCTAACTTATCACAGTCCACCTTCAAGTGATATGACATTTCCTGTAGAGTGTGAGACCCTTACAAGGTATAGTCCCATTTCTCCCCTCCTGGCTCTTGTGCTATTGTACAAAGTATCATTTGACTTCCACATACGTTATAATCCCCACATTACATCAGTTTTTGCTTTCAACTGTTGATCATCTTTTAAAGAGATGTAAATAGTAAGAAAAAAATTATTAATATGTACTCACATGGTTACCTTTTCAGGTGTTCTTCATTCCGTTGTGTACTTCCAGATTTCCATATGGTCTGATTTCCCTTCTGCTTGAAGCACTTCTTTTAACATATCATTTAGTGACAGTCTGCTGGTGATGAATTCTTTGAGTTTTTTCATGTCTGAAAACATCCTTATTTCACCTCTGTTTTTGAAAGATAGCTTTGCTGGGTAAAAAATTCTAGATTGCCAGGGCCTTTTTTCTGTATTTTAAAGATAATTTACTTTCAAAGGAAAGTTCAGAGGAGTAAGATTAGAATATTTTGAACAGAAGTGAGAGTTAAAATATGTATATATTTAAATTTGCAAGTCCTGTGCATATCTTTTAAAACCTGAACACACACACACACACACACATTCAGAAAAAAAGGGAAAGAAGCTTCCCTGAACCAACAGACACGGAGATGAGCACTCCGTTTATGTGTGTCTTGTTTCTATTTTCAGGCTCAGAGAAGAATGGAAGCAGAGACTAGAAACAAAGCTGAGACTGCGGAACAATCCAGATGAGACTGAAAAGCGGGCCAATGTTGGCTGAGAGCTTCTTGCTTCGTTGACACAAGAGAATACACAGCACTGAGATCACTCTGCCAGGAGAAGTTCATGCAAATCCCTGAGCCCCTTTGCTATAGCAAACAGACCTCAAGCCACTGTTTCCCCCACCTGCGAGGGGATTTATCTGTAAATCCTTTCCCAGGGCTAAATGGGAATAATTAGCCAAGTCAGTCCTCTGCCTGGGGGCCAGAATGTTATCCCAGATATCCCTAAAGCTGAGATTATTTAATATCAAAGCTCCACACAGCATATTTTATTTCTATATAATTGTCTTCTAATTTTGAAATCCAAATATTGTGAATTCTAAGCACACTAGGGGAGATGATCTTCACAGTCATGCTTTAAACAGTGCATAGTAGTTTTCCCCACATTTCTCCTTGGAAATAGTTTTATGTAATCCTATCTCTTGTTTTCTTTTGATGAAAAGAGAAATGCACCTATCGGCAGAAATTAAAACATTGTAAATAGTCATTAAGAGAAGGTTTGCAAATAAATTGATCTAATATCATTTTTTCTTCGAATGAATGCAATTGGCTTATTTGAAAACATGTTTACCTAGAATCGTTAAATAAGGTCAGGATAATTTTAATAAAACTTGGTTGTCTTGCCATTACTAGTGTGCATGCTCTTCATTTTATTGCTTTACTTTAAATCTCTACATGCTTTCACTGGTTATCTCTCTGTCAGCTCAGCTAAAGTATATCTGGCCACCTCAACAAAGTGTTTGCCACATAGATTCTGGACTTTGAAATGTCACTGTCACTCCCCAGCCATCTCTCAGTTCCCCTTTATAGGACTGCTGCTCCCAAAAGTGCAAATTGCTCCTTGCCAACCATGGCAAGGGAGCAGAGAGATGCATGCTGTAAAGTACCCGATGGTTGTAGGAAGCACCTGCAAGGCCTTACATACACAGGAGCAATGTTACCAGGACACACACAGAGCAAGGCAAGGGCAATTCCAGACAGTAGCGAGTGTAGTGTTCCAGTCCTCTAAATGCCCTGATGTGCCATAAAGTGCTCCTATCCACATCCCTGAGCCCAGAAGCCTTCATCAGGGTGATAAGAGGCACCAAAAGGCAAGAAGTGTTGAGAGATCATTTTCCCAGGTCCCATTCTCATATGATCCAGGAAACAGGGCTCAGAGCCCTCCCTCCCACTACGGTCTCTCATTCAATCTGGGATTCGATCCAGCTAATAAACTATGAATTCCAGCTGGGTTCATTCGAGAGCATTTTTATGAAAGTGAAATTTTTGTCGGGTATAAGAGGAAAATAGGAATTAAATAGAGGGAGAAGAGAAATAGGGCTCACAGGCGGAGAGGCTCTCAGAAGCAAAGGCCTATCATCATGAGCTGTAAAACACTGCCGCTGGAATCAGCTGGAACCTACTGCTGGAATGAAGCAGAGGGAGGCAGAAAATGCAGGGGAAGAGTCATTGTGCACTTACTCGTTCACCACATGCCAGGCTCTGTGCTAGACAACTGGAATACAGCAGAGAAGACCAGAAGCACTGGCTCTGGAGGCTACAGTCTAGGGAAGACGGCAGAAAAGTCAAGGCAATTCAACGTGAGGGACTTTAGCACTGGGAGCCACAGCAGGCAAATGTGCACACCCCATGTGGGGACCCATTCTGGCCTAGGGAGGGCTACTTAAGAACAGGCTAGTTAAGCCCAAGTAAGCAGGATCCAGGTAAAGCTGAGATTCAGGGCTCATGGGTCCGGGCTCTTGAGAGAACACATTCAATAAGGCAGGAATAGGAATGAGGAGAAAGTGTAGGAAGAATCTGTAAGAATCAGCATACAGGGCCTTTTTGGCTGAGAGTTTGAGCTTTTCCCAAGGGCACAGGAAGCCCCTGAAGGGTGTTAGCCAGGGAAATGCCACAATGGCCATGGTTGTGAAAGGTTACTCCACACTGAAAGGTGGGAAGACCAGCCAGGAGCTTCTGCAGCTGCCTCCTGAGAAATGAGAAGGCCACACTAAGACTCTGTGCCCTGGCAGCAAGGACTGGGAAAGAAAGGGAGAGGGAAGGGTAAGTGCCATTTTCTCACAGTACTGCAGCTGGAAGCCCAAGATCAAGGTCCCAGCCTGGTCAGTTTCTGGTAAGAGCTCTCTCTTGGCTTCCAAATGGCCACCTTCTCACTGTGTCCTCATATGGCAGGGGAGAGGAAAGGGACAGAGAGAGAGCAAGCTCTCTGCTGCGTCCTCTTATAAAGGCATTAGTCCCAACACAAGTGCCCCACCCTCGTGACCTCATCTAAACCTAATTTTCTCTCAAAGTCCTCATCTCCAAATGCTGTCACATTGGGAGTTAGGGCTTCAATGTACGAATTTGCAGAAGGGGGAGAGATGATCCACAGCTCAGCCCACAGCAGAAAGGGATGCTTTACATCTGTGTATCAAGTCTTAGACACATCCCTGGGCACATCCCATTTGTGAAACTGACCAGGATCAACACAGCAAAAACTTTGAGAGCTGAACTATGGTGTGGAACACTACCCAGGTTTCAAATTGGCCTCTGGGTAGCACGCAACAGCAGACCACAAAAGCAGTCAAAGGCTTTGAAAAGTAATTGACATTTAAAACATAGCCCACAAAAGTGGGCCAGGACATGATTCCTGGACATAAATAGATTGACTGCCTGTTAAAATAGATATGTAAAAAGGAGAGCCTCATAATCTTGGACTCAAAATGTCCAGGATATAATCCAAAATTACTCATACCAAGAGCCAAGAAAATCTTAACTCAAATGAGAAAGGATAATCAACAGACGCTAATAGTGAGATGACACAGATGTTTGGAATTATCTGACCATAATTTTAAAGCAGTTACAAAAATGCTCCAACAAGCAATTACAAGCACTCTTTAAGCAAACGGAAAAAGTAAAACAAATCTCAGCAAAGAAATAAAAGATATAAAGAAGAACCAAATGGAAATTTTAAAAATGAAAAATACAATAACCAAACTAACAAACAAATGATAAAAATAATACTGCATGAGCTCAACAGCGGAATGAAAAATACAGAGGAAAGAATTAGTGGATTGTAGAAGTTAATAAAATTATCTACTTTGAACAATAAAGAGAAAATAGGTTTTCTTTAGAAAAAGGAACAGAGTCTCAGGATCTGAGGGACAATAACAAAAGATCTAAACTTTGTGTCATTGGAATCTCAAAAGGAGAGGAGAAAGCATAGGCTGAAAAACATTTGAAGACATAATAGTTGGAAAATGTCCAAATTTGGTGAAAGACGTAAACCTACTGATTCAAAAAGCTGAGAACGATTGTTAACAAAAAGAATAAAATACCTCAGGGTGAATTTAACTAAGGAAGTGAAGGACCTATACAACGAAAACAACAAGGCTTTCCTGAAAAAAATGGATGAAGACATAAAGAGATGGAAAGACATTCCACGTACATGAATTGGAAGAATAAACATAGTTAAAATGTTCATACTACTTAAAGCAATCTACAGAATCAATGCTGTCCAAATCAGAATCCCAACGACATTCTTTGCAGAATTAGAACAAAGAATCCTAAAATTCATATGGGGCAACAAAAGACCCCAAATTGCTAAAGCAATCCTGAGAAAAAAGAACAAAGCTAGAAGCATCACAATCCCTGACTTCAAAGCATACTACAAAGTTACAGTAATCAAAACAGCATGGTACCGTACAAAAACAGGTGCACAGATCAATGGAACAGAATTGAAAGTCCAGAAATAAAACCACACATCTATGGACAGCTAATCTTCGACAAAGGAGCTGAGGGCATACAAAGGAGAAAAGAAAGTCTTTTCAACAAATGGTGCTGGGAACACTGGAAAGCCACATGTAAAAGAATGAAAATTGACCATTCTTTTTCACCATTTACAAAAATAAACTCTAAATGGATCAAAGACCTAAATGTAAGACCTGAAACCATAAGCCTTCTAGAGGAAAATGTAGGCAGTACACTCTTTGACATCAGTATTAAAAGGATCTTTCAGACACCAAATCTTCTCAGACAAGGGAAACAATAGAAAGAATAAACAAATGGGACCTCATCAAACTAAAGAGCTTCTTCAAGGCAAGGGAAAACAAGATTGAAACAAAAAAACAACCCATTAATTGGGAAAAAATATTTGAAAGTCATATATCCAACAAAGGGGATATACATATCCATAATATATAAAGAATTCACACAACTCAACAACAAAAACTCAAACAACCCAATCAAAAAATGGGCAGAGGAGATGAACAGACATTTCTCCAAAGAAGACATACAGATGGCCAATAGACACATGAGAAGATGCTCATCATCACTGATCATCAGGGAAATGCAAATCAAAACTACACTAAGATATCACCTTACACCTATTAGAATGGCAAAAACAACCAAAACAAAAAGTAACAAGTGTTGGAGAGGTTGTGGAGAAAAAGGATCCCTCATACACTGCTGGTGGGAGTGCAAACTGGTGCAGCCACTATGGAAAACAGTATGGAGATTTCTCAAAAAATTAAAAATAGAAATACAATATGACCCAGCCATCCCACTACTGGGTATCTATCCAAAGAACTTGAAGTCAGCAATTCCAAAAGTCCCATGCACCCCAATGTTCATCGCAGCATTATTTACAATAGGCAAGACGTGGAAGCAACCTAAGTGCCCATCAACTGATGATTGGATAAAGAAGATATGGTGTAAATATACAATGGAATACTACTCAGCCATAAATAAAAGAATAAAATCATCCCATTCACAACAACATGGATGGACCTTGAGGGGATTATGTTAAGTGAAATAAGCCAGACAGAGAAGGACAATCTGTATGACTCCACTCATATGAGAAATTTAAACATGTGGACAAGAGAACAGATTAGTGGCTACCAGGGGAAAGAGGGGGGGGGGTGGGCACAAAGTGTGAACGGGTGCACCTACAACACAACTGACAGACAATAATGTACAACTGAAATTTCACAAGATTGTAACCTATCATTAACTCAATTAAAAAAATAAAATAAAATAAAAACCTGAGAGACTCCCAAACAGGATAAACCTAACGAAATCCATATACAGTATGGTCAAACTTCTGAAAACTAAAGACAAAGAAAAAAATCTTCAAATCAGCTAGAGAGAAATGATGTATCACCTATAAGATAACAATGATTCAAATCATAGCAGAAGCTCATCAGAAATCATGGAGGCCAAAAGGAAGTGGCATAACATTTTTCAAGTGCTCAAAGAAAAGAACTATCAACCCAGAATTCCATATCTAGTGAAAAGAGCTTTCAGGACTAAAGGTGAAATAAAGATGTTCTTAAAGCAAGAAAAACTAAGAAAATTTGTCACTGCCAGACCTACTCTAAAAAATTGTTGCAGGAAGTCCTTCAAACAGAAAGGAACTGATGGGGGCTGGCCCAGTGGTGCAGCGGTTAAGTTCACACGTTCCACTTTGGCGGCCCAGGGTTCACAGGTTCAGATCCTGGGTGCGGACATGGCACCGCTTGGCAAGCCATGCTGTGGTAGGTGTCCCACATATAAAGTGGAGGAAGATGGGCACGGATGTTAGCTCAGGGCCAGTCTTCCTCAGCAAAAAGAGGAAGATTGGCAGCAGACGTTAACTCAGGGCTAATCTTCCTCAAAAAAAAAAAAAAGAGAAAGGAACTGATATCAGAAAGAAAGAACAGCAGGAATAAAGAGAAGGAACAGAAAGGGTAAATATCTGTGTAACTGTAATATACTCTTTTCTTCCTGAGTTTTTAAAATTATGTTTGATGGTTGAAAGCAAAAAATTGCTGTGATTCTTATCTGATGTGATTCTTACTGTATGTGGAGGTAATATTTAACTATATCATAATTGGTGGTAAGGTTTCTATTATTCCACTTGAATAATGGTGATGCAGCACACTGTAAAATTAATTACATGTATTATAATCCCTGAAGCAACTAATGAAAAAACTATAAAAAGTGATATCAAAGTCAAAAACACAGATAGATAAATTGAAATGAAATACTGAAAAATATTCAAGCAATCCACAGGAAGGCAGGTAAGTGGAAACAGAAAAATGGATAACAAGGGGAACAAACAGAAAACAAGTAATAAAATAGCAGACTTAAACCCTAGCCTATCAAGAATTATATAAATATAAATAGCCTAAACAATTAAAAGACGGAGATTGTTAGAATGGATTAAAAAACACAACCCAATTCTACGCTCTCTATGAGAAGCTCACTTCAAATATAATAATGTAGGCAGGTTAAAAGGAAACAAATGGAAAATCATATACCACGCAAACAGTCATCAAAAGAAAACCAGAGTGGCTATTTTAAAATCTACCAAAGTAAACTACAAAGGAAAGAAAATTATCAGGGATAAAGTGGGACATACTGATAAAAGGGTCAATTCACCAAGAAGTCATAGCAACATTAAATGTGTATGCACCAAGCAGAGTTTCAAAAGACACAAAGCAAAACTGACAGAACTGAAAGGAGAAATAGACACATTCACAACTACAGTTGGGGACTTCAACATCCTTCTCTCAGTGATCAATAGGACCACCAGAGAGAAAATCAGCAAGGATATACAAGAACTAAATACGGGGTCTAATGGACATTTATAGAACACTCCACCCAATGATAGCAAAATACATATTCTCTTCAAGCACACCAAGTTAGAGCATATCATAGGTCATAAAAGAAGCCATAACAAATTCAAAAGAAGTAAACTAGAAATCAGTAACAGAAAGACAACAGGAAAATCTCTGAACTTGGAAAATTGGAAATTAAATAACACATTTCTAACAATCTGTGGGGAAAGAGGAAGTCTCAAGAGAAATTAGAAAATATTTTAAACTGAATGAAAGTGAAAATACAACATATAAAATTAGTGGGATGTGCTCTACTCAACAACAACAGCGTACACATTTTTCTCAAGTGCACATGGAACCTTCTCCAGGATAGACCATGTGCTAGGCCACAAAACAAGTCTTAATAAGTTTTAAAAGATTGAAGTCATATAAAGTATCTTTTCCAACCACACAGAATGAAACTTGAAATCAACAGCAGAAGGAAAACTGGAAAACCCACAAATGTTTGGAAATCAGACAACACACTCTTAAACAAGCAATGAGGCAAAAAAGAAACCTCTAGGGAAATTAGAAAATATCCTGAGACAAATGAAAATGAAAACACAACATACAAAACTTATGAAATACAGCAAAAGCAGTGCTAAGGGGGGAATTTATAGCTGTAAATACTTACATTACAAAGGAAGATCGCGAATCAAGAACCTAACCTTATACCTTAAGGAACTATAAAAAGAAGAAAAAAACTAAACCCAAATCTGGAAGAAGGAAAAAATAATAAAGATTAGAGCAGATACAAACAAAATAGAGAATAGAAAAACGACAGAGAACATCAACAAAACCGACAGGTGGTTCTTTGAAAGGTTCAACAAAATTGACAAACTTTAACTAGATTGACTAAGAAAAAAACAGAGAAGATTCAAAACCAGAAATGAAAGAGGAAACATTACTACCGATTTTAGAGAAAGAAAAAGGATTATAAGAGAATACAATAAACAATTGTATTCCAACAAATTGGAAAACCTAGAAATTGACAAATTCCTAGAAATACACAGGCTAACAAGATTGAATCGTGAGGAAATAGAAAACATGACCACACATCTATCTAGTAAGGAGATTGAATCAATAATGCAAAACCTCCCAACACAGAAAAGCCCAGGGTCAGATGGCTTCACTGGTGGATTCCACGAAACATTTAAAGAAGATTGAACACCAAT